AGGTTTGAAAAGGTGCTTTAGAAGTCAGCCTTCCTCGACCTGTGGGGCAAAAATAAAAATATAAGAGAAATTGGAACACCAAAGGCTTAGGTTACCATCTTCACCAGCTACCTTAAGGCAGAATTGCATCGAAGAGAAAGAATGCAGGGGCTGATTCTTACGCAATCTGATTTTTGTGCAAAAGTATCTGTTCACACCCGTATCACTTGCAAGTTTTGCTTGAACTCATGCCACCTTCTCCCAGTTGGCAGCTGCTGCACTAGTTATCTGGGAAGAACATTTAAGCTACAACCTCAACCTGCAACCATTTGGCTATTTCAGAAAATGAGCCTGAATTTTAGCCTACTTCACCTAGCTTGCTAGTTCTTTAAATCCCCACTGTTGGGCTTGACTTAAATAGGAAGATTCAAAATCCATTTAAGACTCTTGGGTACTTATGTGTAGGTCACATGCCCGCAGGCAATGTCTACAGTTTTACAAGCATCAACAGGTAGATGATGGAAAGATTAAAAGATAGTTGAGTGCACCAAAGATGTTTGGCAAAACCTGTAGCCAATCCACCCTTCTTGGGAAGGGAGCTTACCTGGTCATATAGAGGCTTCTCTCCTGAATGTAGAAGAGACTCCCTTTTCTACCGCAGTCTTTCTTGCAGAAATAACGAAATATTAAGCTAAGGAAAGGGTGGGATGGGTACTGTGATTGAGGAGGGAGAACAGTTATATACAGGTAGTCCTTGGCTTACAATCACAAATCAGAATCAGAATAGAACTGGAAGGAACCTTGAAGTCAATACAGACAATACTGCTACCCTACAAAAAGATCTTGACTATGTATCAGAGTGGTCAAACAAATGGCAACTTCAAATCTCAACAAATAAATGCTCTGTCCTACATATTGGCAAAAAAAATCAGAAAATAAAATACAAGCTGAATAGCCAAGATCTTGTTGATGACCCAAGCTCTGTAAAGGACCTTGGAATACTCACCTCTAATGATCTAAGTGCTAGAGCCCACTGCAACTACATAGCCAAAAAGGCATTAAGAGTTGTTAACCTAATCCTACGTAGCTTTTTCTCTGGTAATATCACACTACTAACCAGAGCATACAAAACATTTGCTAGACCAATACTCGAATACAGTTCATCAGTCTGGAACCCTCATTACGTATCTGATATTAACACAATTGAGAAAGTCCAGAAATATTTCACAAGAAGAGTTCTCCACTCTTCTACTCGTTGTAGAATACCTTATGCCACCAGACTTGAAATTCTAGAACTAGAAAACCTTGAATTACGCCGTCTTCGGTCTGACTTAAGCATGGTATATAAAATCATACATTGCAATGTCCTACCTGTCAATGAATACTTCAGCTTCAACCATAACAACACAAGAGCACACAATAGATACAAACTCAAAGTAAACCGCACCAAACTTGATTGCAGGAAATACGACTTCAGCAATAGAGTGGTCAATGTCTGGAATACTCTACCCGACTCTGTAGTCTCTTCCCCAAACCCCAAAAACTTTAACCTTAGACTGTCTACTATTGACCTCACCCCTTTCCTAAGAGGTCTGTAGGGGGCGTGCATAAGCGCACCAACGTGCCTACCGTCCCTGTCCTATTGTTTCTCTTATTCTTTTATTTTTCTTATATGTACCCATTTCATGTATTCACAACTATGTATACACTTATACTTATTATCTTGTAAACAATTGGCAAATCAAATAAATAAATAAATAAATAAATATAATCCACCCTCCTGCTTAAACTGGAAATCCTATACCATGTCAGGTAAGTAATTGTCCAGTTTGCTGGCTGAGGAACTCTGGGAGTTGAAGTCCACAAGTCTTAAAGTTGCCAAGGTTGGAGACCTCTGATTTAGACTAGCCAAACCCAAATCCTTCAACAGTTTTTCATATGTTTTAGCCTCCAGGCCTTTAATCATCAGTTGCTCTTCTTTGCACTTTTCCCAAAGTCTCAATCTGAAACCAAAGTCTCAATTGAAACCAAAATTTTCGTTGCTTAATAAGGCAGTTGTTAAATGAGTTTTGACCCATTTTATGGCTTTCTTGCCACAGTTGCTAGGTATATCACTGCAGTTGTTAAGTTAGTAACCCGGTTGTTAAGTGAATCTGGCTTCCCCACTGACTTGTCTTGTCAGAAGGTCGCAAAAAACGACCAAGTGACCACAGGATCCTGTCCCTGTCATAAACACATGCAGTTGCCAAGGATCCAAATTTTGATCACGTGACCATGGGGATGTTGCAATGGTTATAAGTTGAGGACTACCTTGACTTTTAGCAGACAATATTTGTAGCTCAGGCTTGAACCATGATGGAGTTCTTGGTGTTCTCTGAGCTTGGTTGTTTTGCTTGCAGATATATTTTTTCAGGGCATTGATCAAGTTACCTAGTCAAGTCCTGAAATGTCTGTAAATAAACCATGAAGCTCAGAGAGAATTAACGACTCCATAATTCACTTTTTTGAGCACTGTTTATATTTGGGTGGTAGGGAGGAAGTTGAGTGCTATGGAAATAAAGTGGTTAATTGCATGTGAAATGAAAACAAGAGATGCCTGCTCAGTTAATATAGACCAGGTGTGTCAAACTCTATTTCACTGAGGGCCGCATCAGGATTGTGTTTGACCTCAAAGGGGGGTGGGGGGCGTGGCCAGCTCGATGTCACTCATCGAGGCTTCATTTTTGGCTGCAACAGCTTTCTGCTGCCCTTTGCCAACCAAAATGGAGCTCGGGAGAGCAGTATGCGGCCTGCCTGAGCTTTTTTCCTCTGGCAGAGTCACTGTGGGCCTGCCCTTCACTGTTTCTACGGCGGGCCCGTGGGCCAGATCTAAGCACCTTGTGGGCCAGATCTGGCCCCCAGGCCTTGAGTTTGACACCCCTGATATAGACTATATACCAAAGGAAATGACCAGCATTAAATATATATTTTTTAAAATAAAAGTTTTTTATTTTTATTTTTTACACATCTCTTCACGTGAGCAACGTGATTCCAAATTACAGCATTTATACATAGTCATAATTACATTTTCAACTTTCTTATTTAATATCACATCAAATTATTATCCACTCCACTAATCTTTAAATAAATTTCCTTAGCATTAAAGAAATATGTTGAGAGGGTTAGGTCATCTAGAGATAATGAACAATAGTTAGGCTACAAACCAACTACATGAAGAAAAGGAACTACATGGGTAGGGAGAAAGGAGAAAGGAATAAGTTGTGGTTGGATGGAGTTGATGAAATCTTCAGAGAGATGGAAAACGATCAGCGGTATAAACTGTGGGCACTTTCAAGGAAGCAGATAGAGAAAATACTTCCAACTGTGACTTTTGAGTGGCACCACAAGGAAGAGCCTTTCTATGTAGAAATCCCTTCCTGCTTCTTGGGGAAGTCAATTTCACATAGTGGCTTAGAAGGAAAATATATTTATTTATGTTAGTGTTTGTTAAACAAAGAGCTTACAAAATCCATGCAGCTTCTGGTTGTTTTAATGCTCTTGTTCTTGCTTCAAGTTGGATAGTGCCAGCTGTTGGCTCAATCTCTCAGTGACTCAAAGCTGCGTTTCTTTTCTTGATGCCCGATGCACAACTGTGTCTAGATATGCTCTCCTGGTCCCTTTAGGCAATGATTGCAAGATTGAAAGGATGCGGCTACTTCTTTTCCTCCCTAATCACATAACGCCCCAAATAAAACAACAACAAAGTGCAAGGATTCATTTAGTGACGTTGATGATGGTTTGCGATGGATGGCTAAAAAGCGTAACTTCAATTTGGTTTTGGACAGTGGGAAAAATGGCTTGCGTTGAACATTGAATGACTGAGAGTCCATTTTGTTCTGTGCTCATCTGTGTTAGAACTGACCTGAAATTATTTACACAATATATTTAAATGAGTCAAATGCGATTATTGCATTGCGCAAATCTCCTAATCCAGTTAATTAATCCTGGCAAGTAGTCTGAGATGGCTTCGTTTTGGTCCAAATATCTGGGACTAAACTATTTGAGCTCAGGAAACAAAATTTTCAAATGTACAGATATACTGGTGGTCCTCAGTTTATGGCAACAACTGAGCCCAAAATTTCTGTTGTTAAGTGAAACATTTGCTAAGTGAGTTTTGCCCCCATTTTACGACTTTTCTTGCCACAGTTGTTAAGTGAATGAATCCCTGCAGTTGATAAGTTAGCAACCTGGTTGTTAAGTGAATCTGGCTTCCCCATTGACTTGCTTGTCAGAAGGTTGCAAAAGGGGATCATGTGATTCTGGGACATCGCAATCATCATAAGTATGAATCATGGGGATGCTGCAAAGGTCGTATCTCTGGAAAACTATTGTAAGACGCTTTTTTCAGGGCCATTAAAACTTTGAAAGGTCATTAAATGACCTGTTGTAAGTCGAGGATTACCTGTACACACACACACACACACACACACACACAGAGAGAGAGAGAGAGAGAGAGAGAGAGAGAGAGAGGCTGTAGAGTGCCTATCTGATCCTGTTGCTTGAATCCCATCCTGAAATACAGCCACACAAAAAGATGCTAAGTCTCTGAAATGTTTTAAACAACTTTTAAAAAACATACACCAAAAAAAGCGCTCTTTTTTTCATGCATTTTTACTTGCAACATTTCCCTGTAAAAGAAGATGATAAAGGTGAAACACCTGTCTTTTAAGGGAATTGTGTGTGGGGGGGGGGGGGAAAAACTCCTATATTTTCCCCTTCCTCCACCTTTTTTTTTTAAAGGCCAAGGAAGGTATGCTTTATCATTACATCTATCTAATAGTTTTCCATGCATATATTTGATATCACTGTCCTATCCTGGATGTCTTGTCATACGATAATAAGAATTTTTAAAAAGTCTTATCACTTGACGCAATATGTTACCTTTAGTCTAAATTAGGTCTCGTCACACTTCTTGAGCTGGAAAGGTGCTCATGGCCTTAGTAATCTGTTCTTCTTATAGTTTTTATTTTTCTTCCATTTAGATATAAAGGAAGCTGAAAAACAATCGTGTTCCAGGCATCTATGGAAGGTGATGCTGAAACTGAAATTTCTGTGACTGTTGTCTGCAACTGATCAAAACTTAAAGGAGATACAGAGCTTTCCTCAACGACTCAAGACCTACAACATTGATTCTGTTCGAGGTTATTATTTTTTTCAACTTCTCTGGAAATAGAGGGGGGGGGTTCCCCCCCCCCCAAGAAGTAAAGAATGTAGAAAGATGACTTTTAAAGGGTGCATGAGCCCCATGCAAGATTTGGAGACACCATGGATCTATCATGTGCCTTGAAAAGCCAAAATTTAGTAACTTTTTTACTCCTAATTTTTCCGTGTAAGAGAAAATGGGAAAGTTGAAATATCTCTCTTTTAATTTTTGTGTGGAAAAAAACCCTAGCTTTCCCTCTTCCTCTTCTTTTTAAAGGCCAGGGAAGGTATGTTTTATCATCTTGCACCCACATAATATTTTTGTAACTACCGTAACAGCATAAGGGGGTGGTTTAAGAGGCTTATGCTTTCACCGACAGCTTTACTGTTGACTCTACCTCCAAAGTTCAGAATATTGGGGTGTTATTAATTTTTAAACAAAGTGAGCCTCCATGTTCAAATGTGATTTACCACAAAGTAGAAACTGTTAAGAGCTGAGCAGTGAAAGGGCTGGCCCTTCAAATCCTGCTTGAGGTAACCCGCTAGCATTTCAGATGGAGAAGAATGGTTGTGTTCCTGATGTGGACCTCTGAGGTCTAATGTTCAGGTGAGAATCTGTTAAAGATTGTTTTAAAACATCAGGATTTCCCCCTCTCCCCTTCCCTGCCCTTCCCCCACACCCAGACCAGCATTTTCAGGGACAAATTGGATTTTCATTCATGACAGATATCTTATTTTTGAAGTATCAATCGTTTGGGCATAAATTAAATCCAGTTATTTATAATGCAACGTAGCACTTCTCTTTTATTAAACTTGCTGGAATACATTACGTGAATAGCATTATGTTAAACAAACCAGATGGACACCCTTCATGCAGGTTATTTCTCTCATTTTACACCAATGTCTATATTGTGCAGCCAAAGTCATTACTGGTATATTATTTTTTTCTCTTTAAATCTCAATGTGGTTTAGAATTACTCCTAAGACACATACATTTTCAGGTAGAAAGATAAAGTGCCAATCATTTAAACATATAAAATAATAAGTGTGACATACAAAAGGATCAGTATGTTTTAAATTTTGTAACTTTAAGGTGTGTGGATTTCAACTTCAGCTTGGCTGGAGAATTCTGGGAGTTGAAGTCCACACATCTTAAATTACCAAATTTGAAAAACACTGTTATAAATCAAATGGAAGTATATATGAAGTATACATATAACCTTGTAGTAAGGATCATGACAAAAGAGGAGTGATCATTTTAATGATTATTATCCATTTCTTCTTTTGATCTTTTTTATCATGGCTCCATCCACTTAACAAAGAATAGATCTTGGTACGGTTTTAATCAGGATTGCAGTCTGAAAAACCCTTGCTGAAGAAAATCAAGTGAGTCAGAGGTGTGAAAGAGGTAACATTAATTAGTGAGCATTAAAAGGTTTAGAACAGACCAAAGCTTCCTTTGTGCTTGTACTGAAAACTACAAATGCCATGATTCTTGCTAGTGATTTTCAGCCTTCATGATTCTTGGTTAAGTTTTAAGGAACCAAAACAACCAAAAATATATAAACTGTGTCTTTAAACTAAAAACTGCCAAAAGTAGGGAAAAAAATCAGTTCCATTGAGAAGATTAGGATTGGTAAAATGGGTAGATTAAGATGCTCAAAAGAACCACAATGGGCTGGAAAGATTGGTAAAACCCATCTCAAATCATTCAAAACACCAAACCAGCCTTAAAATGTGTCACCAACCTTCTTGTAATTATCACAAGATTGCATTATTTTCATACCAAATACTAATACCAAACTATTACTAGATTTTAAGCTGTCACCTGACAGAGCATTCTCTGGGGATCTCAATGCAAACTTTATGAGCACTGAGTGAGATTTCAGCTACTTTATATGTTTATTAAATGTGGGGGGAGGCATTGTATAGTATGTTGAGCCCTGATCTAAAAGGTAAGGGAATGTAGCCAAGTCACTGAATCATAGAGTTGACGTCCTAGAAGTCCAACTGCCAACCCACGCTCAGCACAAGAATCTAAATTAATGCTTCCCCAACGAATGGCTCCCAGGCCATCATTAGAACACTACCAGTTAAGGTGAATTATTGGGAAATATCTTAATTATCCTAACTTGAATTCATTTTATGCACAGGATTACTTCCCTATGATTTACTCAAAAGGGAGTTGTAAAGGCACTCTGCTTGGCATTTTTCAACCACTGTTATATCACCTCAAATGTCATTTGCCTTCATGTCTCTACTATCCTTAGTTTGTCTCTCTTTAAAAAAAAATCATTGAAGTAGGGGATCATCCTAAAGAGCCATGGTGGCACAGTGGTGAGAATTGCAGTACTGCAAGCTAATTCTGCTGACCTCCAGCAGTTTGATTTTCACTGGCTCAAGGTTGACTCAGCCTTCCATCCTTCCAAGGTTGGTAAAATGAGAACCCAGGTCGTTGGGGGCAAGAGGCTGACTCTGTAAACCGCTTAGAGAGGGCTGTAAAGCACCATGAAGCTGTATATTAAGTCTAAGTGCTATTGCTATTGCTATCCCATGGCAGGGTGTCCCACCGGTTATTTCTGCATTGCATAAAGAAATACATGAAGAATTGTCTGCCCAACAATTTCATTGAAAACAAACACACAGGTAAAAGGGCGAAGCGTTCTCGATTCCCTCCTTTTACAGCACTGCCACAACAAATTGGCCATATCCACGTGTTCCAGGCTGCAGGGGTTTGCGCTGCCGTGCCACATCACTCCAAGGCTCTGGGCCTAGGACATGGGCCCTGAGCACAAAGGGGAGATGCTATCCCCACCTTGCACCACGAAGGAGGATTATCACATCATGTCAAGCAGCTGAAGAAGCTTTACTGGTTGTTGGTCGAAGGTTGGTGGCTGAACATCCTCCAGGTGCGGTAATCCTTTGCTGTGAAGACCGGGGTGTGGAGAGAAAGGTGGGGTACATAGCCCGGTTTCCCCTTCAGCTCCTCAGCACAGCGATTGCGGTTGATGACTGGGGAAAAAAAAGAGAGAGAGAGAGATTGTAATTCAAAAGAAGCTGGGGGGAAATTAAGGTGGATTTCCTATTTTGCATATGCATCACTGGAGGTTTGTAAGCAGAGGCTGGACAGCCATTTGTCTGGAATGGTATATGTCCGTGATAGTGAACCTATGGCA